CTGGTGCAGCAGGCCGGCCAGCAGGCTGACTCCTCCGTCGCCCTCTACCACTTCAACGCCTCCCTCTACCTGCTCCGTGTCCTGAGGGGCAGCACCATGGACAAGTCCACCCGCAAGGCCCAGAAGAAGGAGAAAGCCAGCAAAGACGCCAGCTCCCAGCCCCAGGGCCCGGAGGTGAGCAGAGCTGGCCCGGGGAGGCTCGGCCTGAATGTCCAGCTCCGCTAAAGGGGAGCACGTCCCAGGAGGCGGTGGGGCAGTCAGTCTACCCATTTCACAGACCGGGAGGTGAGGCCGCAGCTTCCCTGGGACCCAGCCTTCAACCTTCTGAAGGCAGCCCAGGCTGGGCTCCCGTGCCAGGCCCCCGCTCCCTGGCATCACACCAGCTCTCTCTGCCATGGCGCAGGCTGCCAGCTGCCTGGACTTGAGCCTTGTGACCCCGATCTACTCGTCAGCGCTGAGCTCCTTCCTGACCAAGCGCAACAGCCCCCTCACGGTCCCCATGTTCCTCAGCCTCTTCTCCCGGCACCCAGTGAGTATCGGGCGAGGCCGCCCCCTCGGGCCCCTGCTGGGCCCCATCCTCACTGCCCACCGTTTCCTCCACAGATGCTCTGTAAGAACCTGCTCCCCATCGTGGTCGAGCACCTGACAAGCCACACGCGGCCCCGCCATCAGGTAAGGCCTTCCCAGATTCCAGCCCCAGGTTTGTGTGCATTACCCGCTTGACTACGTCTGCTCGGCTGTTGGGGAGACTCAGGAATGCTGCCCTGGGGGTCAGGGTGGGGTGAGCCTGCCCCTCCAACCTGGCCAGTCCCCCCCAACCACGCCACTGTAGGCCCAGAGTAAGTGGGGGTGGGGGGGCACTTCCCACATGGCCTGAGTCCTCCAGCTCCTCAGATCACGCCCTGGCCTGACGGGTATGCCTGGGGGCCAGGGTAGGAAGAGGGGGCTGGAGAAAGATGTCCTGAGTTAGTAGGGGGCAAGGAACTGTGTCCAGCTGACCTTCCCTGCTGCCCCCCTCGGCCTCAGGTCTCCCCACTACCTGAGAAGGGCGGGCAGGAGCAGGCGGTGGTGACAGCTGAGCCTAGAGCTCCGGTGATGACAGCCCAGGCGGGCTCGCAGGGGTCACCCAGCGTGCCAAGGCTCCTGGTGACCACGTTGCCCCCACCCCAGGTCCAGGCCTGCCTGCTGCTCCAGAAGACCCTGCCCACACGGGAGCTGCGCGTGTGCTTTAAGGACCCAGAGTGGAAGCAGCTGCTGGGCCAGACCCTGGGGAAGGTCACCGAGGTAACAGCCCTGGGCTCTCCTCCCCCACCGGCTGGCTGTGGTCCTCAGGAACCCAGGGGTGAGGGTTGCTGGACCCTGCGCCTCGGGGTGGGTTTGGGGTTCCCCCAGGAGACGTTTCTTCCCCGGGGACCCTAGTCTCACGTGGGAGACGAGCTTCACGCAGCTCTCCGGAGTGGCTCAGCCCGGCCACATTTTCCCCCAGACCCTGCGGACACTGGGCGAGGCTGAGACCAAGTCGGGGCACCAGAGGGAGCTGGCAGCCTTGGAGCTGCTCAACACTCTGTTCAGGAATTTCCATCACACGGTGAGCACTGGGCCCAGTGGGAGGTTGCCAGGCGGGCAGAGTGTGCAGTCTGAGCAGAGGCTGGGGGGCAGGTGGGACATCTGGGGAAGGGTCTGGATGCCAGGGTGAGGAAACCGGGCTTTGTTTATTTGAGGCAGGCTACTGCTACAACCTGTGCTTGGCCAGGGTAGGGTGAGCTGGTGTGCTGTTGCTGTGCTCCAGTGAGAAAGCTGAGAAGGGGCTGGGAGGGCTGGCGACCGCGGGAGGACATGCTGTTAGGTGGAAACCCAGGCTCCCAGACTTGCAGAGACGGAGCAGGGGTATGGCGTGTGAGATGCGTGAGGGCCACTGGGTGGCTGTGGGCAAATCTGGTTCCCCCAGTCTGGCCCAGAGGGAAAGGTGTGGGGGTCCTTGGTGTAAACACTGATCAAAGCCCCAGTGCAGGGAGCCTTCCAGGAGGGTGCCGCGGGGGCAGGTGCTAAGCAGCACCGAAAAGCCACACGCAGAGTGGTAGCAAAAAGCCAGGAGAAGGACCCGTTCTGGAAGCCAGTGGCTTTCAAAAACACCCCACCCAGTACGTGACAGGGAAGGAGAGATGGGAAAAGGGCCTTTGGCAACCCCAGGGTCACTGCACGGTGCCCCCTGAGGTGGGTGGGCTTTGGGCCGTGGAAGAGAGAACAGACTTGGCAGCTCGGGCCCTTGTTGTTTTCTCCCCAGGTGAGAGAGGCCAGGGAGGCACAGGCTGAAGGGGTGGCTGAGGGTCCACACAGGGGTGGGCTCGCAGAGGCAGTAACTGGGCAAGGGTGGGAGGAGTGGCGCCCGGGAGCTGGGGAGAGGCCGTGCCTCTGCTCGCCACTGCAGCCACAGCCTTGCCCGCCTCTCTGCAGAAGCTGACCATGGACCTGACCGCCGTCCTGGGCGTGCTGCAGAGCCGACAGCCGAGGCTGCAGCAGAGCCTGCAGCAGGGAGAGCACTCGGCCGGCTCCAGCCGCCTCCACGACCTCTATTGGCAGGCCATGAAGTTCCTCGGCGTCCAGTACGTTTCAGGGAGGGCGGGCGCTGGAAAGACCCTCATGTTGCATGTGCTCTGATAGTCTCTCACCACGTTTCCTTACTCTGCTCACTTCCCCCTAGGCGCCCCAAGTCAGAGAAAGATTCCAAGGAGGCCCCTCAGGCCACACAGCAGAGCCCCGTTAGCATGAAGCGGAAGAAGAAGGGCTTCTTGCCAGAGACCAAGAAGCGCAAGAAACGTAAGCCGGAGGCCACCACGCAGGAGGAGGTGGCGGCCAAGCCTGAAGCCGCCAGTGGGGACCAGCCCCCCAGCACCGGCAAGAAGAAGAAGAAGAGGAAGAAGACGAAGAAGACCAAGTCCCCGGCCCAGCCCCAGGTGAATGGGACACCTGCCGCCAAGAGTCCAACCCCAGAGCCCCCTGCGGTGAGCCCCAGCATCCCCGCCAAGACCCCAAAGCCACAGAAGAAAACCCAGAAGTTGTCCCAGGTGAACGAAGCCACTCCCCTGCCTCCTGAATCCCCCAAGGAGCCGGCTGCCAAAAAGCATCAGAAGAAGCTGCCCCAGAAGGGAGTATCAGGCAAGTCGCCACAGTCTGCACTGCCTCGGAAAAAGGCCAGGTTGTCCTTGGCCAGCAGGAGCCCCAGCCTCCTCCAGAGCGGGGCCAAGAAGAAGGTGCAGCTGAGGAAGGCGAAAAAGCTCTGAGTGCCCCCTTCCACCCTGTTGTGCTCAATCCTTTCCGACTCCTTGCAACTCCATAGACCCACCAGGTTGCCTCTGTCCATGGGATTTTACAGACTAGGATACTGGAGTGGGTTGTAATCATTCCCTTCTCCAGGGGATCTTCCCGACCCAGGGATCGAACCCACAGCTCCTGCATTGCCTTTTCCACCGCATCACCCTAGAGACTTTTTTTCACCATGATTTTAATAAACCAGCTACTGTCTAAGGTTCTACCTTCCGTGCTGGGGGTAGTGGGTCTACTGCAGCAGGCATGGCCTGAGAGACCCCAGCCCTGAGCTGGGCCCCGCTGCTGCTCTCAAGCACAGAACACCCTTGGGATCTTGGCTCCCAGATGCTATGGGCCAGGCCCAGGGCTCTGGTGTCTATGTGGGTTGAGTACAAGTGTGACCACACCTCGTGACCCCCGCCCCCACCCCTCCAGGCTGCTTTGCTGCGGGAGCCACCAGGGCATGACTTAAATAGCTTTATTTCTTCATTTACAAGAGGAATATATTTGGCTTCTCTCTTAAGACTCTGAGATTCACAATCAGCAGCTCTAAAAAATAAAGGAGCAGTTTGGCTTCCGGAAGGAAGAGGAAGCAGCACTTGGACCTGGTTCTTGTACAACAAGAAAACATAGCTGGGGCCCCGGGCTGAGGCCGGGGTGGGAGTGGAGGCCAGGCTGGTCTTCGGGGGAGCCCCACCCCCTGGTTAAGCCCCCCTCCCAGGGTACCCCAGAGCTTGGTGGGGAGTGGGTGCTCCACCAACTTACCCACCCCTGAAGCCACGCCAACCAGCAACTTGAGCAGAGAGCACTAAGCTGGCTGGCTCTTAGGATCTCCTGCCAGCCCCATGGCACCCACCAGACCAGCACCACCTTGATGTGGTGGGGAGGGAGCGTGTGGAGCAGAGGGGACAAGCGGGGGCCGGCGGGGGGGTTTCTGATGTGAAGTTGGCAGCTGTACCCTGGTGGCGGGGTGGGGGGAGTCTGGGCCACATGGAAACGTGTGAACTGAGTGGCTGACATGCGCAGGGAGGTGACTCTTTTGAGTGCTGGCCTCTCCCGATGCGCCTCAGCCTCCACCAGGCTCTCCCCAGGGACAGGAAGCTTGGAGGATGGCCGCTTCCTCTGGCAGCCAGAGCCCTGGCTACTGCCCCACGGATTCTGGGAATACTCCCCTGGGCGCTGCCCCTGGAAGGGGCCCAGCCTGGGGGCAGGAATCAGTTCCTGGCTTCTGTGGGGATGGTCAGGCAGGGGATGGGCAGTGGGGGTGCTTCAGTGGATCCAAGGAGCCCTGTAGGGGCGGGGAAGCCCCAAAGGTCTCAAGCACGGGGCACAGGTGGCGCGTCGCGCCACCAGGGCCTTCACTCCCGGTGACGCCAGCTCCCTGTCAGCCTGGTCCCCCACCTGGGACCAGCCCCAGTGCCCTCCAGAGTGACCAGCCGGGCTGGGAAGCACCAGCAGCTTGGGTGCCCGGCTCTTGCCAGGTTGAGTCCAGTGTCCTCAAGGTCAGAGGTCCTCATGGACCCGGCCCTTGGGGAGCCAGAAGTGCCGCCCTGAGGCCTGGACCCCCTCCTGTCCGTGTGGTCCAGGGGCTGTTGGGTCTTCAAAGCTGCAGCCAGCACCTTGCCCAGCAAGCTGTATGGGAAAGTCCAGTCCCCTGACCCCAGGGTCTGGGGAGGGCAGAGACCGCCCCAGGATCACATAAGCTGGGGACAGGCCAACCTCTCCCCACACACCCATGGGGGGCTGTCTCCTTCCGGGACCCCAGGGCCCCTGTGGCCCGGACCGGGGCCTGGGGGCGGCCTGTCCCAGGGCGTGGCTCCAGCACACACAGCCTTCCAGGTTAGCTGAGGACACAGCTTCTTGGGGCCACTGCCGCTCAGCAGTCCCAGACCAGAGCTGGTGGGTGCCCCGCTGTGGGCCACAAGGAAAGCTTCGGGACAGCCCGGCAGGGCCAGGGTGCCTGGGGCCGCCTCCCAGACCAGGCAGGAGGCGGGGTCCTTCATTATCCCAGCGGCACCTGGAGGGAGGGGGTCAGAGGTCAGGTGCAACGCCCAATCCAGGACTCCCCTCCCGATCCTCCCCCTGGGCCCCGCTGGCAGGGACAGCAGATCTGCCACGGCTAAGGCGTGGGGGCAGTGACCTTGGACTTTCCTCTGCTGGGAAGCTGAGGCCTCCGGAGGCCAGGCCCAGAGGAAGGTCCAAGTAGGAGTCGGGCTCTGGCACCTCCAGGAGGATTTGGGAGGATGGAACCTGGAACAGCAGAGAGTTCCTGGCCAGTCCCCACCCTGACCTGTGCCCCCCAGCCCTTCTGAGGAAGGAAGGGGGAGCTGATTTACTGGAAGAGGGAGCCTGTCCACCCCCCATCCCGTGGGTCTACCGGTCAATCCAGGCAACATTACTGGAGGAAGAGGACCAGTCCCAGGGCTGGGATGTGCTCAGGCAGGAGGCCACTCACAGGGAGTCTAGAATTTCCCTCTGCACAGCTAGCTCCCCACTCCGAGATCCCCACCCCTTCCCTCCCGCAAGAAGCACCCCACCACCCACCCAACCCACACTCACTGCCTCAGACTTTCACGGATGCGGGAGGCATCACCAGCTGGTTCACCCTGGGGGAGAGACGGGCAGGGGTCAAGGTGGCACATCAGCGGGGGCCGGGCCCGGGCACTGCTCTGGAGCATCGCATCGCGGGGGCCGGCGGGCCGGACGTGCTGGGCAGGGACCTCGTCAGCCCCAGGGGGAGGTGGGAGAGCCCAGGAGTGGGGAGAGGGGAGAGAGAGAGAGGGGAGTAAAGAGGAGAGGAGAAAGAAGTCAGACGGTGAGAGGAAAACGAAGGGGCAGAGCCCCAGCCCTGAAAACCATTCATTCCAGAGAAACACTGTCTAGACCCACCACACAAACCCCGGGGCCACTGTGGGCTCCCACTAGTGATGCAGGCCGCACCTCTTGGAGGCGGGGACCTCATCGGCCAGGTGAACCCACCCACTTCACCCTGTCACAGCCGCAGCAGGCCCACCCCCACCCACGCCACCAACTCACTGCTGCTCAGCCTTGGCACGGTCGCTGAGGAAGAAGAGCGCGGTGGCCAGGAAGAACATGCCACCCAGGACCACGACGAAGGGGCAGAGCATGAGGGCGTAGCCCAGGCTCAGAAACTCCCAGAGCGGGGAGTCCTTGGTGCTCTGGCGGATCAGGTCAGAGATCTGGGGGGTGGAGGAGCCAGTGGATGTCAGGGTGGGGCCTCCTCCTGAAGCCCCCCGAACCACCCATCCCTGCCCCTCCAGTCCCTGGTACTCACAAAGCCAATGAGGTAGGGGCTTCCGGCGTCCCCCAGTAGGTGGGAGGTGAAGCTCTGCAGGGCCACGGCAGTAGCCCGCCTGGTGGGGATGACCACATACTGTGCAAGAGGTGGCAGGTCAGAGGCCAGGAGAGCCAGGTGCAGCCACCTGGCCTCTCCCCAGGAGGCCGACACTTCTGTAGCTCCCATGGCCTCCCACACAGCCCTGCCCCAGGGTCCTCACACACTGCTCTCCTGGGCCCTCCTCTCTTCCCCGCCCCCTCCCCCAGCTCCTGAGTCCACACTGCCTGAGCACCTGCACTTGGCCCTTGCCAGGGAGCCAAGTGCACCGGTCATGGGCAAACCAAGGCTCAGAGGCACAGAGATGGCCCACGGCCGCCCTGGGACCAGAACCCCGGCCTCAGGCTTGCCCTCACCTCCCCCCCAGGAGAAAGACCCATCCTGGCTGCCCTGCCGAGGCCCAGGCTGGCTGAGATGGGCGATGCTGGTGAAGAGGACCCTGCCTAGAAGAACCTCCACTTTCACCCCCAGCACCAACTGCGAGAGCCCCTGGGCCCCCAAAATCCACCTTCCCGCCTAGACCAAGCAGGTCCTGACCCACAAGGGGCCACAGCTCTAAAGCTGGATGGGCCAAGGCTAGACAGAAGGGCTGGTGGCAGAGGAGCAGAGGGTGTCCTGGGCAGCCCCCTGCCCCAGAACCCCACCCTCTGTGGACAGATTATGACAGCAGCTAGTGCCCACCAGGCACCCAGTTGCTAGGGGGAGGGGGAGGGGAGACCTCGATTGCATGGCCCCGTTTCCAGGAATAATTAGTCACTTAGCTGTGACACTTAATAAAATGGGACACAATTTCCCTGGGACCCAAACCCTGTCAGCAGCTGGGGCTGCCCCTGGGGGTAGAGGCAGAGCAGGGGTCCTGCCTACCTCCAAGGGCACTTAATTCAGTCTCACTCCAACCGTACCTCCCACGTGTGCGGTGACCCCGCCCTACCCCTGCCACCGGTGCCTGGCACCATGCTGAGGTGCAGAGCTGAGTCAGACCTCCCACTCTTCTAGCCATGGGCTGGGGTTAGCCAGGGGAGACAACCCTGGGTGAAGCAGATTTGCAGGGAAGCTCGGGTGAGGCAAGGCAGGCTTCCTGGAGGAGGAGAGATGGCAGGGGCCCAACACCCAGGCAGAATCTGACCTGCTAGGCTGACCCGTACTCTGACAGCAAACCCCAAGTGCCCTGAAGGTGACCCCAAAGGAGTCCTTCCTCCTCCCTTCCCCCCAGGGTCCCACCCCCAGCACCTCCCAGACACTCCCCACCACCAGTCCCCCGCATATCCTCCTCCCAACCCTCTCCTGGCCCCGACTTGGAGGATCCCTGAGGTCAGGACCACTTGTCACCCCATTTCCAACCACCACCCCCAGACTGCTGCCTGTTATCAATGCCACAGGCCCCTCCGGGTCCATCCTAGACTGCTCCTGTCCCTGCCCAAGGACACAAATCCCTGCCACCACTCAGACAGCCCTTTGTCCCTGGCTGGCTGGTCTGGAGCCCATTGTTGGCCCTGTGAAGACAGCCTCTGTCCACCCAGCCCAGCCGCAGGCATCGGGCAGGCGCGCCCGGGACCCGGAGGTCTGAGTCCACAGGAGCTCAGACCCTGGGGGCGGAGCACTGGCAGACAGCACCACGCTGGTGCCAGCCTGGCACTGCCAGCCTCCCGGCCACAAACCTAGGCCTGCAGACATTATCCTTCTGCACCCAGTCCCCACATTCCCTCCCTTCTGCCTGCTCAACCCTCTGATTCCAGGCCCTGGCCCAATGCAGACCCCCCAAAATCCCCACTGTATCCCTTCACAAGTCCTGCAAGCTCTCCCACCCCTTCACCCGCCCTACCCAGCTGCCCTGAGCGGTCAGCCATGGCCTGCCTCACCATGAGGATGTCCGCGGTGATGGCCCAGTTAGAAAACAGCAGCGTCTCCCCTACGAAGATGCAGATCTGTCCGGGGTCGGGAGAAGACCAGAACAACCATCAGGGGGCACTCTACCCACCATCGGTCCCAGGCTGCTCCCTGCACCCTGGCTGCTGGCAGGCAGCCCCCCACAAGCCTCCCCCTCAACTCCTGCAGTCAGGCTCCTGGGAAATCTGTGGATAATCTACAGGCTTCAAGCCAGGCCCACAGCCCTGAAGGGCACCCAGAGCCCTTGTCAGAGCAGGGACAGAAGACTGGAGCATCCAGTTGGGGGGGGGCACCTCCTACCCCGACATTTCCTGTTCCAGAGCCCCTGCACCCACCCCCAGCACTCACATAGGCCCCCACGATGCTGCTCTTGGCGGCCACGAAGATGAGGCAGATGAAGATGGCAGAGCCCAGCATGCCCACAGCGCACACCAGTGGGTCAGCCCTCTGGGTCCGCAGGCGGCACCAGCGCGTGGCTCCTGCCCCCGTGACCACACCCAGAAAACCCGTGAAGCAGGTGATGGCCCCGAAGATGAGGCTGCAGAGACAGAAGACAGTGGGGCGCAGGTTAAGGGGGCAGAGCTGGGGTACGGGCGCTGACCGCATCCCTCACCACCCACCCCCTGCCTGCCCCCTGGCACCGACCCCCGGGCCCGGCCCCACCTGTCCTTGGCCCCACAGGGCGGGCTGCTGCAGGTCTCTGCCGTCTTCTGCACGACTTGGGCGCGGTGCAGGTAGAGCGGAATCCACATGCCGAGGGCCCCTGTGGCGAAGGACACGGCCGACGTGGCCAGGGAGGAGAAGACGTAGCTGCGGCTGGAGAGAGGCCGGGGCAGCGACACTGAGCCGGGGGGGCTGGCACCCCTGCAGCTGGCAGGGCCCAGGAGGCAGGCTTTCCGCCCTCACACCCTCCCCCCAAGGGCAGAAGGCCTCAGACACCTTCCCTGCAGGCTCTGGGGCTGAGGGCTCTGGCTTCAGGAATCATAAACACTAATGGTCTCAGCACTGTCAACAGTGGAGATTCCAGGGAGTCTGGCCAAGCAGGCAAGGGGGGAATGTCCTCTCATCTCGGAACCCCTCCCTCTTCCCACTGGACCCCTCCCAGCAGCACTCACTTGCGGATCAGGGCCTTCATGTCCCGGAGCCATGACGTCCGTGCCTTGAGCTGCCCCCCAAGCTGGTCGGCGTGGCCCCTCTTCGTGGCTGGGACCAGGACAAGGATGAGCGTTCCTGTGATCATGCCCAGGATGGGGGACACCTGGCAGGGCAGGGTGCACCAAGTTAGGACACCAGGGCCCCAGAGTCTTTGTCTCTCTTTGGCACTGGGAAGGGGTACCAGGCCAGCCATGACTTCTCTGGGCCCCGGGCTGCTCCTCTGGGCTCATATCTGCCCAGTCTTCCAGATCGAGCAAAGCCACTGGGGGTGATGCCAGCACAAAGGGCTGGTGGGCTCCAAATGGGCTGTCCAGACTAGGGGTAGGATGGGAGAGGGGACTGAAAGTGAAAGGGAAGAAGGGAGGGATGGTCAGAATGGAGGAAGGAAGGAGGATAGATTGCTAAATAGAGAGACAGACAGATGGATGAATGCTCAGATGGATGGATTGCTGGGTGGATGAATTAACACATGGTAACACAGGAGGATGGATAAATGGATGGGTGATGGATGGAACAAAAGGAAGACAGGTAGATGGGCGGATGAGAACTAGGAGAGTTCCTGGGGTCAGGGGCCAGATACCAGCTCTTACCCACCTCCCTGGGTCT